GATCCCATTTCCGTACCAACTCAAGATATGGTTATTGGACTTTATGTATTAACGAATGAGAATCGTCGAGGTATTTGTCTTAATAGGGCAACTAAATGTAATACACGAAATCAAAGCAGTGACAATCGTAATTATAAGTATAAAAATGAACCCTTTTTTTGTAATTCCTATGATGCAATTAGAACTTATCGGAAGAAACAAATAAATTTAGATAGTCCTTTGTGGCTCCGATGGAGACTCGATCAACGCGCCATTACTTCAAGAGAAACTTTAATAGAAATTCATTACGAATCTCGAGGGACTTATTATGAGATTTATGGACACTATCTAATAGTCCGAAGTATAAGAAAAGAAACTCCTTTTTTATATATTCGAACCACTGTTGGACATATTTCTCTTTATCGTGAAATTGAAGAAGCTATCCAAGGATTTTCTAGGGTCTGGTCGAGACCTAACAGAATTTGATGATATAAATACCAACGGTAATTTGGGGCTCCCCGATTTAACTAGGACCTGAGCTACGGAATTTCTACGTGAATAAAGATCCAGAAAAGTAAGTTTTCAAATCATTGACTAAAATTCATTGTCTTGCCGAATCCTACTTAGCCAAACAAGGAGGTACTTATGGCAGAACGGACAAATCTGGTCTTTCACAATAAAGTGATAGACGGGACTGCCATGAAAGGATTTATTAGTAGATTAATAAATCACTTCGGAATGGCATATACATCACATATCCTGGATCAAGTAAAAAATCTGGGTTTTCAACAAGCGACTACTGTATCCATTTCATTAGGAATTGATGATCTTTTAACAATACCTGCCAAGGGGTGGCTTGTTCAAGATGCTGAACATCAAAGTTCGATTTTTGAAAAAAACAATCAATATGGAAATGTGCACGCAGTAGAAAAATTACGTCAATCCATTGAAATATGGTATGTTACAAGTGAGTATTTGCGACAAGAAATGAATCCTAATTTTAGGATCACTGACCCTTTGAATCCAGTTCATATAATGTCTTTCTCCGGAGCTAGAGGAAATGCATCTCAGGTACATCAATTGGTAGGTATGAGAGGCTTAATGTCAGATCCACAAGGACAAATGATTGATTTACCGATTCAAAGTAATTTACGTGAAGGACTTTCTTTAACGGAATACATAATTTCTTGCTATGGGGCCCGTAAAGGGGTTGTGGATACTGCTGTCCGAACCTCGGATGCTGGATATCTGACGCGTAGACTTGTTGAAGTAGTTCAACATATTGTGGTACGTCGAACCGATTGTGGCACTGTTCGCGGGGTTTATGTGAGTCCTAAGAACGGAATGATGCCAGAAAGTATTTTTATCCAAACAGTAATTGGTCGGGTATTAGCAGATGATCTATTTATAAGCTCACGCTGTATTGCCACTAGGAATCAAAACATTGGAGTTGGACTTTTAAATAGATTTATAAAATTTCGAGCCCAATCAATATTGATTAGAACTCCCTTTACTTGTAGGAGTACATCTTGGATTTGTCAATTATGTTATGGTAGAAGTCCTACTCATGGTGATCTGGTAGAATTGGGAGAAGCCGTAGGTATTATTGCAGGTCAATCAATTGGAGAACCTGGTACTCAATTAACATTAAGAACTTTCCATACAGGCGGAGTATTCACAGGGGGTACTGCAGAACATGTCCGGGCCCCTTTGAATGGAAAAATAAGATTTCATGAGGATTTGGTTCATCCGACACGTACACGTCATGGACATCCCGCTTTTCTATGTTCTATAGATTTGTATCTAACTATAGAGAGTGAACATACTCTACATAATATCAAAATTCCTCTTAAAAGTGTTCTTTTAGTTCAAAACGAGCAATATGTAGAATCCGAACAAATTATTGCTGAGATTTGCCCGAGAGCATCGAGTTTTCATTTTAAAGAGAAGGTGCATAAAAATATTTATTCTGATTCAGATGGAGAAATCCACTGGAGTACGGATGTTTATCATGGATCAGAATTTGCATATGGGAATGTTCATTTATTATCCAAAACAAGCCATTTATGGATATTATTAGGAGAGCCTTGTCTTTCTAGTCCAGTTTCCTTTTCAAGTCACGGGGACCAGGATCAAATGAGTACTCCTTCCCTTTCTTCGCTTAAACGAAGATCTATTTCCAACCTATCAAAACTGAATAATCAGACTAGACAAGAAATCCGCCGTGCGGTTTTTTCTGGTAAAAACAAAGAGGACTTTGCTTATTATTCAGACGTAAATTTTTATTTTTTATCAAATTTATTATCAAAGAGGCGAAGAAATCAATTTAGCATTCCCCTCCAATCAATTCAAGAAGGTAAAATTAAACTACTACCCAAGTCAAATATCTCAATGAAAATACCTGCAAATGGTGTTTTTTTTCAAAACACTATTATTGCTTATTTTGACGAGACCCAGTCCAGAATCAATCATTTAGACAGTACTAAATCCCAAGATGGGACTCATTCAATCATTCAAAAAGAAAGTTTTATTAAGTATCCGCGAGTAAAAGAATTTAAACCAAAAAGAAAAGGAGAGCACTTTTTTTTTTTTCCCGACGAAGTGCATATCCTACCTGGATCTTCTTCGATAATGGTACGGAACCATAGTATCATTGGAATAGATACAAAAATAACCTTAAATAGAAGAAGCCAAGTCAGTGGGTTGGTCAGGGTGGATAGAAAAGAAAAAACAATTGAACTGAAAATATTTTCTGGCGAGATCTATTTTATTGGTCGCACAGAGAAAATATCCCAATGTAAACATGTTTTGATAACACCTGTAACGGGAAAGCCAAATTACAATCAAAGAAAAAAAATTACAAATTTGATTTATGCCCAACGGATTACACCAAGTAATAAAAAGTCTTTTGTCTTGATTCGACCTTGCATCAAATATGAAATAATAGACGGTATAAGTTTGACAACACTCTTTAATCCCGATTTATTGCGGGAAAGGGATAATGTGCAACTTCGGGTTATAAAGTATATCCTTTATCTAACTGACAAACTAATTCAAGAAAATTATGACCCAAGTCTTCAATTAGTTCGGGCGTGTTTAGTTTATCATTGCAACCAGGATACGAAAAGTTATTCTAGTGAAGCAGCCCGCACTTCCGTTTATGAAATAAGAATAAAAAATTTGATTCGTCATTTCCTAAGAATTAACTTTGCGAACGCACGACTTTCGTATATCTCAAAAAGGAATGATCCTTTGGGTTTAGGATTATTTGCTAATAATGAATTAATTTGGACCACAAAAAATTCATTTTCTAAGACACGGATTGACGAAACCCTTAACGAAAAAAAAGGAACTATTCATACATTTTGGAATCAAAATAAGGAATATAAGTCCTTTATTATTTTGTCATCATCAAATTGTTTTCAAATGGACTTTTTTAACGGTGTAAAATATCACAACGTCAGAAAAGCCTCAATACAAAAGCATTCCCCAAGCCTTGATATTAATAATTATTTGGGTCCTTTAGGAACATACCTTCCAATTGTGAATTGTGATTCGTTGAATCGGTTATTAACTAAAAATCTGAGTTTAGTCACTAATTATTTAAAACTCGACAAGGTAAAACTGCCCTGTCAAGTATTCAATTTTAAATATTATTTTCTTGCGGAAAACAAGAAATTTTACAATTTTAATCCATGCAGTAACATTATTTTGAATGCATTTAGTTTGAATGGGTCTTTTCTTTACCAAAATCATTGGACAGCGACATATAAAAGACTAAGTCTTGGACAGCTTATTTGTAAAAAATGTATATATAGAAAAAAGAATACCTGTTATAAACTCGGGTCAAGTTATTCTTGTCAAACTTGACTCTGTAGTAATACGATCAGCTAAGCCTTATTTAGCCCCCCCAGGAGCAATTGTTCATGGCCTTTATGGAAAACCCCTTTTTGCCGGCGATACAATAGTTGCTTTTAACTATGAAAAATCAAGATCCGGTGATATAACACAAGGCCTTCCAAAAGTAGAACAGGTCTTAGAAGTGCGTTCGGTTGATTCCATATCAATGAATCTACAAAGGAGGTTTGTGGATTGGGACAAATTTATAACCGGAATTCTTGGAATTCATTGGGGATTTTTTATTAGTGCTGAGTTAACTATAGTGCAAAGTCGTATCTCTTTTATTCATAAGATCCAAAAAGTTTATAGATCTCAGGGGGTCCAGATTCATAATCGGCATATTGAAATTATTGTACGTCAAATCACAGCAAAAGTTTTAGTTTCAGAAGATGGAATTTCTAATGTTTTTTCGCCTGGAGAACTTATTGAATTGTTGCGGGCAGAACGGATGGGGCGTGCTTTAGAAGAACCTATTTATTATAGAGCCGTATTACTGGGAATAACAAAAGCATCTCTCCATACTCAAAGTTTCATATCGGAAGCGAGTTTTCAAGAAACTGCTCGGGTTTTAGCAAAAGCGGCTCTGGTGGGGCGGATCGATTGGTTGAAAGGCTTGAAAGAAAATGTTGTTTTGGGTGGGGTTATACCGGCCGGGACTGGATTCAGAGCATTAGTCTACCCCTCAAAACAATATAATAAAAGTTCCTTCCAAAAACAAAAAAACAATCTATTTGAGGCGGGGGTTAGAGATATTTTATTCCCTTATAGAAAACTTTTGAAATCGTTCCTTTCAAAAAATAAAAAAAAGATATCACATAATTGATAGGATTTAGAAAGATTCCTAAGAGCAAATTAATATCTTGTATGCTTTCTCAATTTCGCCGGTTGATTTAGAAATAGAAAAATAGAAAATAATAATTATTGGGGCGTATATATTATATATATCGGCAATTTAGTATAGATGACTATAGAGGATAAGGTTCCGTTGGAACACGTTTTTAATTTAATTCAAAATTCCTCGTTAATTTTTTTCTTAAACAGAATCTAAAAGGGGGGATCTATTTCAATGACAAAAAGATATTGGAACATCAATTTGGACGAAATGATGCAGGCTGGAGTCCATTTGGGTCATGGTACTAGGAAATGGAATCCTAAAATGGCACCTTTTATTTTTATAAAGCGTAAAGATATTCATATTATAAATCTGATCGGAACTGCTCGTTTTTTATCGGAAGCTTGTGATTTGGTTTTTGATGCAGCAAGTAGAGGAAAAAATTTTTTAATTGTGGGTACTAACACTAAAACAGCTAATTTAGTAGCCCGAGCTTCCATAAAGGCCCGATGTCATTATGTTAATAAAAAAATGGCTTGCCGGTATGTTAACGAATTGGTCCACCACAGAAACAAGACTTCAGAAGTTTAGGGACTTGAGAATGGAACAAAAAAAGAGGGGGTTCCATTATCTTCCAAAAAGAGATGCAACTGTGCTCAAAAGACAATTAGCGCGTTTCGAAACATATCTGGGTGGAATTCGATATATGACAGGCTTACCCGATATTGTAATCATTATTGATCAGCACAAAGAATATATGGCCTTGCGAGAATGTATAACTTTAGGAATTCCAACAATTTCTTTAATCGATACTAATTGCGACCCCAATCTATCAGACATTTCAATTCCAGCAAATGATGACGCTATCTCTTCAATTCGATTGATTCTTAACAAATTAATATTTGCAATTTGTGAGGGCCGTTTTAGCTATAAAATAAATTCTTGATAAAGAAATAAAAAAATAACTAATAAAAAATTAAAAAACTTACTTCAAAAATAACATAGATTCCTTTCATAAGTTACTGAGTCTTCAAAAGTTAGATTTTTTGATTTGTTTCTATTAAAAATGACAAGATCCAATTGAATTAGACAAATAGATTTTGGCATTAAAATAATTAAGGGGGTCATATGAATCTTTTTTTTTTTTCTAGCAATTACCCCATGGGGTTATACGAAATATCTGGTGTAGAAGTAGGTCAACATTTATATTGGCAAATAGGGAATTTCCTAGTCCACGGCCAAGTCCTTATAACTTCTTGGGTTGTAATTGGTATCTTAATTGGTTCTGCTACTCTAGCTGTTCGCAACCCACAAATCATTCCTAATGGGGGTCAGAATTTATTTGAATATGTTCTTGAATTCATTCGAGATGTGAGTAAAACTCAAATTGGCGAAGAGTATACCCCTTGGGTTCCTTTTATTGGTACGATGTTTCTATTTATTTTTGTTTCTAATTGGTCCGGGGCTCTTTTACCTTGGAAACTACTCAGATTACCTCATGGGGAGTTAGCCGCACCCACGAATGATATAAATACTACTGTGGCTTTGGCTTTACTTACGTCAGCGGCATACTTCTATGCGGGTATTTCAAAAAAAGGATTAGGTTATTTCACTAAATATATAAAACCGACTCCCATCCTTTTACCAATTAACATCTTAGAAGATTTTACAAAGCCTTTATCACTTAGTTTTCGGCTTTTCGGGAATATTTTAGCTGATGAATTAGTAGTTGTTGTTCTTGTTTCTTTAGTCCCTTCAGCAATTCCAATACCCGTCATGCTTCTTGGATTATTTACAAGTGGTATTCAAGCTCTTATTTTTGCAACCCTAGCCGCGGCGTATATAGGTGAATCCATAGGGGATCCTCATTAATATTAATTACTTTGAAAATGGATAAAAATGAACTAATGACTAGCGAAGGCCTAATTGCTAATTGATTCATTGTATCATTAACGATTTCTTTTTTTGTTACGTTTTCTTACGAGGAATTACTAATGAATCCACTCATTTCTGCCGCTTCCGTTATTGCTGCTGGCTTGGCCGTAGGACTTGCTTCTATTGGACCCGGAATTGGTCAAGGGACCGCCGCGGGTCAAGCTGTAGAGGGGATCGCGAGACAGCCTGAGGCGGAGGGAAAAATACGAGGCACTCTATTGCTTAGTCTAGCTTTTATGGAAGCTTTAACAATTTATGGATTGGTTGTTGCATTAGCACTTTTATTTGCGAATCCTTTTGTTTAATTTAGAATGATAAGACTAATAAATAGACTATTGAGGCTTTTTTTTTTCAAATTATATTCAAAATCCCTCTTGGCATTACTTTATTGGTTGAGAAAAGAACCTTATGATACGCATGAAATACTAATACTTATTCTATTTTAATTGCTTTCATCCCTTCCACTTGTAGTTTAAGCTGACTTTTTTTTAGTGAGGTTTAGTAGATCCGCAAAATACACTAAAATATAATGTGGATTTAATATTGAATTAAGAAGTTATAATTAACTAACGAAAATCTGTTTTGTTTTTTACGTGATATTTATTTATTATTTATTGAATAAAATCAAAATAAAAAGCAAGGTGAAGTAAAGAGTCTTGTTTTATTTTAGTCTATACTATAAGAGGAGAATTTATGAAAAGCGTAACCGATCCTTTCCTTTCTTTCGGCCACTGGTCATCTGTTGGGAGTTTCGGGTGGAATACCGATATTTTAGCAACAAATCTAATAAATCTAAGTGTAGTGCTTGGAGTATTGATCTTCTTTGGAAAGGGAGTGTGTGCGAGTTGTTTATTTCAGGAATAGGCTGGACTAACCAGTTGTACTCTTACTCTTTATTTTTCTGAAAACTCGGAGAGAGAGGTGCAGTATCTCGCGAATTACTTCTGAATAAATAAATTTTCTGTAAGAACCATAGCATTTCGTCATTTACTGGTAAATCAACTTTGATTCTCTCTCAGCCACGACTATGATACTATGAACATGGTTAAAAAATCATTTGAAGTCAAGGCATTATATGGTACTCTTTCTATCACTATGTTCATTATAGAGATCTTTTCAAAAAAATATTTGATCAATAGAGGATGCTCTTATTGATTAAACTAAGGGAACCCCTTCATTTTTATTTTTAAATTTTTCAAAAAGAAGGGCAATTTCCCCTGTTTATCCAAATCCAATGCTAAATGGACGGCCTGTGTTTAGAAATAAGTAATAAAATCTTTTGAAAAAAAAAACAACTTTGCTGACAATTACCGATTTTTTGGTTGTTTTGTTAGAAGAGTCCTCATCTATTTGGAATATTAACAAAGATAAAGAAGAAGGAAGAGAGGATAAGCTCAATCGAGTAATAAAGAAAAAAAAAAGATCATAATTTTTATTAAGTTTGATTTGAAGGAATTGAGCTTGAGAGCCAAATGAATTGAAAGATTCATGTTTGGTTCGGGAAGGGGTTTTTCTGTTTTGAAATGAAAGCAAAAAAAATCTACTTTCATTAAGTGATTTATTAGATAACCGAAAAAATAGGATCTTAAATACTATTCAGAATTCAGAAGAACTGCGTGGGAGGTCTAGTGAAAAACTAGAAAAAGCCCGAGCTCATTTACATAAAGTAGAAAGAGAAGCCGAGGAGTTTCGCCTGAATGGATACTCTGAAATAAAACGAGAAAATTTGAATTTGCTTAATTCAACTTCTAATATTTTAGAACAATTTGAAAATAATAAAAATGAAACTCTTCGATTTCAACAGGAAAGAGCTATTCATCAAGTACAACAACAGGTTTTCCAACAAGCCTTACAAAGAGCTCTAGAAACTTTGACTTGTTGTTTGAACACCGAGTTGCATTTACGTACTATTAGTACCAATATCCGCATGTTGAGCACACTTCAAGAAATCAAAGATTAGTCTTTAACGTGGCAGCTTTCACTCCAACCTCAGCTCTTTTTATTGGTTTGAGCAAGATACGAATTATTTAAAATTGAAATTAAAGAATATATTACTTCATATAAAATATTTTATAGCGGAGGTATTATTTTTTATATAAGAAGAATTTAAGAACGAATCATGGGAACGATCCAAGCTGATGAAATTAAGAATATTATTCGTGAGCGTATTGAAAAATATAATAGAGAAATAAAGATTCTCAATACTGGTACCGTCCTTCAAGTAGGCGATGGCATTATTCGTATTCACGGTCTTGGTGAAGTAATGGCAGGGGAATTAGTAGAATTTGAAGAGGGTACAGTTGGCATTGCTCTCAATTTGGAATCCACCAATGTTGGTGTTGTATTAATGGGTGACGGATTGATGATACAAGAAGGGAGTTCTGTAAAAGCAACGGGAAGAATTGCTCAGATACCGGTGGGTGAAGCCTATTTGGGTCGTGTTATAAATGCCCTGTCAAATCCTATTGATGGGAAGGGCGAAATTTCATCTTCTGGATTTAGATTAATTGAATCCCCCGCCCCAGGGATTATTTCGCGTCGTTCCATATATGAGCCTCTTCAAACTGGACTCATTGCTATTGATTCAATGATACCTATAGGCCGTGGTCAGCGAGAATTAATTATTGGAGACAGACAAACTGGTAAAACAGCAGTAGCTACGGATACGATTCTAAATCAAAAGGGTCAAAATGTAATATGTGTTTATGTAGCTATTGGTCAAAAAGCATCTTCTGTGGCTCAGGTAGTTACTACCTTACAAGAAAAGGGAGCCTTGGAATATACTATTGTGGTAGCCGAAATGGCGGATTCCCCTGCTACACTCCAATACCTCGCTCCTTATACAGGAGCAGCTATGGCTGAATATTTTATGTATCGTAAAAAACACACTTTAATCATTTATGATGATCTCTCCAAACAAGCCCAAGCTTATCGCCAAATGTCTCTTCTATTACGTAGACCACCTGGTCGCGAAGCTTACCCAGGAGATGTCTTTTATTTGCACTCACGTCTTTTGGAAAGAGCCGCTAAATTAAGTTCTAAGTTAGGGGAGGGCAGTATGACTGCCTTACCTATAGTAGAAACGCAATCGGGAGATGTTTCTGCTTATATTCCTACTAATGTAATTTCTATTACTGATGGACAAATATTCTTATCCGCCGATCTATTTAATGCTGGAATAAGACCTGCTATTAATGTGGGTATCTCTGTTTCCCGAGTGGGGTCTGCAGCTCAAATTAAAGCCATGAAAAAGGTAGCTGGTAAATTAAAATTAGAACTCGCCCAATTCGCTGAATTAGAAGCCTTTGCCCAATTTGCTTCTGATCTCGATAGAACTAGTCAAAATCAATTAGCAAGAGGTCAACGTTTGCGCGAATTGCTTAAACAATCCCAATCCGCTCCTCTCACGGCGGCAGAGCAGATTATTACTATTTATGCTGGAATAAATGGGTATCTTGATTCATTAGAACTTGGACAGATCAGCAAATTTCTTATTAAGTTATATACTTATTTCAAAACTAATAAACCTCAGTTCCAAGAAATCATATCATCTACTAATACATTTACCGATGAAGCAGAAGCCCTTTTGAAAAAATATATTCCGGACCAAAAGGATCGGTTTCTACTTCAAGAAAAACTTTAAATAACTACTTCAATCAAGAAATTCAAACACAATAAAGATATATGAAAAAATTGCGCCCAATAGGATTTGAACCTATACCAAAGGTTTAGAAGACCTATGTCCTATCCATTAGACAATGGACGCTTTGATGCTCCTTTTTTTCATCTTACCCCTCAAAATTATTTGTAAAAATAAATAATCAGATCAGATTCAAGGTGATTTTTATATTCCCCTTCAACAAGATTCTCATTCATGAGCATCTACAAATAAATCTTTCAAATTAGAATCATTTTTATTCAATATGAAATTCAAAATGATTTTCTACTTCCTTAGAAAACAACGCCCGGTGGAGTAAGGACCGGGCCGTGCGAACAAGAATAAACTTTTCAACATTTCAAAAATT